TCATTGGCCCCTTCTCTCCGTCTCGCTCTAACCCGATGGGCATCGCCACCCGCAAGCACTCCAGGAAGAAGCGTCTCATACTCGTCCTCTCCTGTCCCCGCTCCGGGCCCGCCCGAGCATCAACAGCCCCTTCCCTCCAGCGCCCTTCTCCCAGCAGTCCGCTACCGTGGACCACGCGCTTTCGGCCCCGGCTCCTGGCTCTCCAAGGCCGTCATCCCGGACGCGTTCAAGCTGCTGCCTTCCACCCCGACCACTGGCGCTGTTCAGGGGTCAAGTGGCGTCGGAGTTCTTCTTCGCAGTGCGCCTCACCTCTGACTGCCGGAGTAGTCCCTCTCGTTCAACAATCTCTCGGAGGCGCCGTGTCGGTTTCTGCTTAATTACGCGCGGCTCCCCTCTGTCCCGCATCTCCCCGATGATTCCCTCGTAGTCAACCCACCCCCCAGGCTGCTCCGGGGGCTCTCTCCGCAAGCTCAGGCCCGCCTTCTCTGCCCTCGGATTCCTTCACTCCGGAAAGACCACAGGCCCCGCCAACGCTCCGGAGTTTCTCGGCATCCGCCTCGACACACGCGCCATGGAGGCCTCCCTCCCGCCGGACGAGCTCGAACGCATCCGCGCTTTCTCCCGGTCTGCCTTGGCCTTCCCGTCACTTCGAGGCGTCCTTGCTCTCCCTCCTCGGGCATCTTAATTATGCCGTCCGTATCATTCCCCAAGGTCGTTCTTTTAATTCCAGACTCCTCTCCCTCGCCGGCTCCGTCTCCTCCCTCAATGACGCTGTCTGCCCGGACGCGGGGCGCCGCTCCGACCTGGCGTTCCGGTCCCGTCTGCAGAGCCGCTGGGATGGTGTATCTCTTCTTTTACAGTGACGTCATCCTGTCTCAGATGCCCCGCGGTTCTTCACGGACGCAGCCCCGTCCGAGGGTTTTGGGGGTTTTTCCAGGACCAGTGGTTCGCCGGGCCCCGGCCCGACGCTTTCCCTTGAAGCATCTCCTCCGCGCTCCACGAGATATATCCCGGACCGTAGCCTGCGTGCTGCGGAACCGTACGTGGCATAGGAAAAGGATTTCCGTGACGTGCGACAGCCTCGACGTCATTGAAATAATTAACAGAAGTCGTTCATCCTCTCCCCAAATCACACCCTCCTTAGACGCATCACATGGCTCTCAGTCTTGAACAATTTACCATCACTGCTCGTCACGTCCCTCGTCACCTAACTGTATTGCTGACTCTCTCTCTTGCTTTAAATTCCAGGAGTTCTGACGCCTTTGCCCTTCTGCCAATTCATCGCCATGCCAGATCCCCCATCTCCCTCGCCCTGGTCTAGTCCCTCCGTCTCTTCACCTTCTCTCCTCCGCTGCATCCTACATGAAAATGGGCTTCTTACGCATAAGCGAATTCACTAACCCCACGCCACCTTCAATGCAGCCCAAGACATTGCCTTCTCCGACCTGTCTTATTATCCCGACTACTTCAACCTCCACCTCAAGCATTCCAAACGCAAAGGCGCTTGTAATATAGTCATAGCTCGGTCTGACACTTCTCCCTGTCCCTACAGATCCATGACGCATTACACTCGCCTCCGCTCTCGGAAAGGAGATCTCAACGGACCGTTATTTCCTACCCCCGATAACCTCCCGATGTCCTCCAACTGGTTCAGAGCCCAAACTCAAGTCCGTACTGCTGCTTTCTAACCTGTCTCCCCATCTCTACACAGCCCACTCCTTCCGGACAGGCGCCACCACGCGCGCCGCGTCCCTGGGGCTCCCCCATTCCGCCCTCCAGCAGCTGGGCCGCTGGTCATCATCGGCCCTCTCCTCATACATCAGGCCTGACACTTCGACCATTCTGGCAGCCCAGCGGCTTCTGGCATCTCCATAAAACACTCGCTAAACTTCCTGGTGGCGGCAGCAGTTGAGTATCCGCAAGTGATGGTCACAGTAGATAGCGGTCACAGTATATAGTGATAGCGGTCACAGTATATAGCGATAGCGGTCACAGTATATAGCGATAGCGGTCACAGTATATAGCGATAGCGGTCACAGTATATAGCGATAGCGGTCACAGTATATAGCAAAAAATGGTTAGCGCATGATGGTCATCAGCATATAGCGATAGCGGTCACAGTATATAGCGATAGCGGTCACAGTATATAGCGATAGCGGCCACAGTATATAGCGATAGCGGTCACAGTATATAGCGATAGCGGTCACAGTATATAGCGATAGCGGTCACAGCATAGCGATAGCGGTCACAGCATAGAGCAGTCTCGTCGTTCTGTCCCCTCCAAACCAGGCTGCAAAACTCCATCAACTCACAGCCTTTTTGGGGATTGGCGCGCTCCATCGCAGGAGCCTCTCCGATCTGAAGGCCGCACCGGGGCCTAGGGCGCCAAACCTCCTCCCAATAAAATACTCAAAAGCTTCTTGTTTCTCGTCTCTCCAAATTGAAATGCAGCCCGCGGAAATTCAATTTGGTAGACGTCAGCCAAAGTCACCCCCTCCAGGCCGGTTCACATCCCCAGCTATCGCACAGCAAACGCCCCCTTCCAATCACCGTACCGGCCAGGCAGCCGCTTAAAAGCGGAGAAACTCCCACTCTCGGCCTTCTCGAAGCCTTGCAACCACCGCCTCCCCTCCTCCTCCTCTTCACCCTGCCTCCAATCTGCCTTCAATCTGCTTCCCGCTGCCAAATGCCGCCACCAGTGCCGAGGTCCCGGGGGATTGGCGCGCTCCATCGCAGGAGCCTCTCCGATCTGAAGGCCGCACCGGGGCCTAGGGCGCCAAACCTCCTCCCAATAAAATACTCAAAAGCTTCTTGTTTCTCGTCTCTCCAAATTGAAATGCCAAGAGTGTGTGAGCAAAAGGTGCTACTTTGAAGAACCCAGAATATAACACATATTTTCACTTGTTTCATACTTTTTTAGTACGTACGTACTTCCACATGAGCTAATTTATAGTTTTGATGCCTTCAGTGTGAATCTACAGTTCAGGGTGTGTCTTTTGGTCTCTACTGTATTTATATACTTTTTTGTTTGTTTGTTGTTCTTGTTGAATGTTGATGTATCTGTCTGTTTTGTTGTCTTTAAAAAAGGAAGAAAATATATATATATATATTTTGTTGTTGCGGATATTTTTGATTGCACTTACCAATATCGCGATAACAATATTTTTTCGATATACTGTGAAGCCCTACAATACAATACAATGTATTCTTGTATAGCCCTAAATCACAACAGTAGTCATCTCAGAGGACTTAACAAAATCATTGAAATCACCAACTGAGATCAGAGAATCAACAGTAAAAACACAAAAAAGAATATAGAACACATGTTAATAAATGTCCATACGTGTTGTAGAATGTTAAAGTGTCCTGGATCATCACCACAGTCCCTTTTGTTAGACACTTATGCCACTTTTCCACAGTCCCAGTACGGTTCTTTTCGACTCTACACGGAACGGCACGGCCCAGTTCGCGTGCTTTTCCATCAACAATATCACCTCCTAGTATGTCCTCAGCGTTGTCAGACCACGTCATTTACGCATGACGTGTAACTAGTACTGGTGCGGTGCATGGATTTATTATAATATCTTGATCCCTGTATTTAATACAGGGATCAAAAGTTCCGAGCTTCCGGCTAGAACGCACGGCATTGTGGGTAGTATTCTCAAAAAAGTGGGCATGAAATCACGCTCTCCTATTAGATTACCTGTTGCGAGCGTGATCTGTCTCTCGTTTTTCCAGCCCATCGATTGTTTTAATCGCTACAAAAATCACCAATTTCAGACATTTAGAAGGTAAGGTAAAGATTTGTTCATGTAACAAAAAAGCAATGCATTTATTTTCTTGTGGTTTTAGATGTAAACACAACCGACTGACTATAGAGCTACACGCAGCTTATGCTACTTACGAGGATCGAATGCTTACACGCGAGCTTTATAAGCTGTACTTTGAACATATTTGTCTGGTGCGGAGCTTCTGAATGTAGAGAAGGCCAAATACCTGGGGCACGTAATCAGGAGTGACCTCAGTGATGACGATGACATTCAGAGGCAGTGCTGTAAGCTGTATGGACAGGCTAACACTTAAGCACGGAGATTTCACATGTGTACAGATAAAGTGAAAATAACTTTGTTTAAAGACTACTGCACACCTTTGCTTTGGGTAAGTTTATAAAGCTCGCGTGTAAGCATTCGATCCTCGTAAGTAGCATAAGCTGCGTGTAGCTCTATAGTCAGTCGGTTGTGTTTACATCTAAAACCACAAGAAAATAAATGCATTGCTTTTTTGTTACATGAAAAAATCTTTACCGTACCTTCTAAATGTCTGAAATTGGTGATTTTTGTAGTGATTAAAACAATCGATGGGCTGGAAAAACGAGACAAATCACGGTATGTATTCTGAAATACATCTCCTATTGAGAGATCCCAGACCCTTGGGTCTGGCGAGAGTCAGGCTGGCATTCACATACTTGATGAAAAGAGCCCTGCTCTTTTCCACATACAGTATGTGACGCAGGCCAAAAATACATCCATCCATCCATTTTCTTCTGTTTCGGGGTCAGCAGTTTAAGCAGAGATGCCCAGGATTCCCTATCCACACACACATCCTCTAGCTCATTGAGGGGAATCCCAAAGTTAAAAATACATGCTTATAAAAACTGGTTTTGTCAGAGAGGGTGCATTTTTTAATTGAGCTTAGGCCTTGCAGGCTACTTATTTTATTGAATACTTTAATGATGATGATATATTTTAAATGAATGCACAACTTTTTGTGCCATGTAATGTTTTAAAACATTACACCAGGTTTTAAAACGTCACACATTTATTTTTCCTAATAGATTTGTGATATATTTGTTAATTCTTTTCAATTCCTGGCCATAATTTAAATATGATTGCCCAACTTCCCTAGGAACTATGGCCCTGACATATAGTTCTACAAGTTCACTTTTACTGGGTTTTGTGAGTGGCTGTCACTCGATCTGAGTGTGTCTATGTGGTGCGCAGAGTCGTTCTGGACCAACCCTCAGTACCGACTGCAGCTGCTGGAAGAGGATGATGACAGTGAGGAAGGGGAGAAGCTCTGCTCTCTGGTGGTCTCACTCATGCAGAAAGGCCGTCGTATGCAGAAGAACCAGGGACCCAGGTTCCTCACTATTGGCTTCTCCATTTACCAGGTTCACAACTTCATCTTATGTATTAGGTCTTGTCAAGCTAAAAATGGACTCTGGCTTCTGATCAAAATTAGACACTCAGCTTTGCTTGGTAAAAAAAAAAATCTGACTCCACCTTCAGCAGGTTCACGTGGAGAACCTTTGTTGATTGGTTCTTCCCAGGAACAGAAATCTTATAGGTTGTTTTTGACCCAACTTTTGAATTACAATTACTCATAGGGCCCTTGCCATTTTGCCAAAAGCTTGCCATCTTCTGATGGCGCCATTACCAGGACTTTCTGAGCCAAGCCAGTCATCTTTTCCAACTTCTCATTTGTCTGAAGCACATACAACATTATGTTCAATTGTTAGTCCGTCCCCCCTCCCACAGTTTCTTAAAAATTATCAGAGGCCCTCTCACTTTATGACCAAACAACAGCTCAAAAAGAGAAAACCCTGTGGAGGAATGGGGTACCTCCCTATATGCAAACAATATACAGTGCCTTGCGAAAGTATTTGGCCCCCTTGAACCTTTCAACTTTTCGCCACATTTCAGGCTTCAAACATAAAGATATAAAATTTTAATTTTTTGTCATGAATCAACAACAAGTGGGACACAATCGTGAAGTGGAACGAAATTTATTGGATAATTGAAACTTTTTTAACAAATAAAAAACTGAAATGTGGGGCGTGCAATATTATTCGGCCCCTTTACTTTCAGTGCAGCAAACTCACTCCAGAAGTTCAGTGAGGATGATCCAATGTTGTCCTAAATGACTGATGATGATAAATAGAATGCACCTGTGTGTAATCAAGTCTCCGTATAAATGCACCTGCTCTTTGATAGTCTCAGGGTTCTGTTTAAATCGCAGAGAGAACCATGACGACAAAGGAACACACCAGGCAGGTCCGAGATACTGTTGTGGAGAAGTTTAAAGGCGGATTTGGATACAAAAAGATTTCCCAAGCTTTAAACATCTCAAGGAGCACTGTGGAAGCAATTATATTGAAATGGAAGGAGTATCAGACCACTGCAAATCTACCAAGACCTGGCTGTCCCTCCAAACTTTCATCTCAAACAAGGAGAAGACTGATCAGAGATGCAGCCAAGAGGCCCATGATCACTCTGGATGAACTGCAGATAACTACAGCTGAGGTGGGAGAGTCTGTTCATAGGACAACAATCAGTCGTGCACTGCACAAATCTGGCCTTTATGGAAGAGTGGCAAGAAGAAAGCCATTTCTCAAAGATATCCATAAAAAGTCTCGTTTAAAGTTTGCCACAAGCCACCTGGGAGACACACCAAACATGTGGAAGAAGGTGCTCTGGTCAGATGAAACCAAAATCGAACTTTTTGGCCACAATGCAAAACGATATGTTTAGCGTAAAAGCAACACAGCTCATCACCCTGAACACACCATCCCCACTGTCAAACATGGTGGTGGCAGCATCATGGTTTGGGCCTGCTTTTCTTCAGCAGGGACAGGGAAGATGGCTAAAATTGATGGGAAGATGGATGGAGCCAAATACAGGACCATTCTGGAAGAAAACCTGTTGGAGTCTGCAAAAGACCTGAGACTGGGACGGAGATTTATCTTCCAACAGGACAATGATCCAAAACATAAAGCCAAATCTACAATGGAATGGTTCACAAATAGACGTATCCAGGTGTTAGAATGGCCAAGTCAAAGTCCAGACCTGAATCCAATCGAGAATCTGTGGAAAGAGCTGAAGACTGCTGTTCACAAACGCTCTCCATCCAACCTCACTCAGCTCGAGCTGTTTTGCAAGGAAGAATGGGCAAGAATTTCAGTCTCTCAATGTGCAAAACTGATAGAGACATACCCCAAGCGACTTGCAGCTGTAATTGCAGCAAAAGGTGGTGCTACAAAGTATTAGCGCAAGGGGGCCGAATAATATTGCACGCCCCACTTTTAAGTTTTTTATTTGTTAAAAAAGTTTAAATTATCCAATACATTTCGTTCCACTTCACGATTGTGTCCCACTTGTTGTTGATTCTTGACAAAAAATTTAATTTTTATATCTTTATGTTTGAAGCCTGAAATGTGGCGAAATGTTGAAAGGTTCAAGGGGGCCGAATACTTTGCAAGGCACTGTACTTTATTGATTTCCCCTAGGGAAAAAAATCAGGTGTCCAGTCGCAGCCGAACCTAGGCTAGAGACCCTACAGCTTGTATTTCACGATCAGACAACCATTTCAGAGGAAGGGAATTGTGCCACATGTTAGAAGTATGGATGCTCCTTTATGTCTATGTTTTGTTTTGCAAAGGTCAGATCAATTTATTACATGGCAAAAATGTATGGATACGGTCATGAAGTTGAACGTGAATTAGTTTGCCTTTGTGGCTAAGTGTTTGTACTCCCTGTGTTCTGTGTTTGTCCTATATGTTTTGTTATCCCTTTTCCCTGTTATATTAAAGTCTAATTAAATAAACCATTTTACATCTTGGTTTTATGTTAAATTCCTTTTCCCCTAGCAAGCTCAACTAGGGTTCTAATAATAAACTAACAGTGAACCAAAAGTTACGCAAAAAACAAGTTTTCAGGCAAATCATTTAGAAACACAAGGATTGTAAAAGATCCACATCAACATCTCTGAATTAATAAGCTACACCAAAAATATGCCATGCTAATGCTAAGGTTCATGAAGGGCAGAACTTTTAGTTATGACGTGACTACAAATACCACAGACGCTGTAGTCACTTAACCTCTTGGATCATGAATTTATTCTAATCCAAAGAGAGTCTAAAACAGGCATGGGCAAACCTTTTCTCATGAGGCGCATATCAGAGTTTCAGACTGCTGTCGGGGGCCTATTTTCCAATGTTTTTTTATGCAAAAAATAAATACATAAATGGGAATAATGGGGACAAAGTTGGGATACATTTTTAATCTTTAATTTTAAAAAATCATATATAATTGTGCCATGAACCAGACTGTAACAGTGTGTGAACATCTGCTTTTGTCTTTGCAGGTCCCAAAGGAGGTACAGTCCACACAGACACCCTGAAGCCCGTGGTACTGTAGTATGGGTTGAGTGAGTGCTGGGTGAATCCATGAGTCCAGGAGTTTTCATATGGACTAGACTTACCTGAGGCCCTTGCTGAATTACAAAACAGTAGCCTGTATTCACACATCAGTTTATACAATGTGGATGATTCACACAAGACCATACATACAACATTTGTGATTATTCATCTACTGCTCTGTTTTCAATCCGACCAATCCTGGCACTCTGACAGAGGCATTTGCATTGTTGCGAATAAAAGTGTAGCTTTAATTTAATGTTGGGAAATTCCCTGGTCAAACGACTGCTGCCATCAGTTAGAGCGCCTCTCGTTAGATGTTCAGCTGAATTTGATTTCTCACTTCTACCATTAGGTGGCACTTTTGTTTGTTCTTGTTAATGCGTATTCATGGTTTCATGTTTCGCCACATGATTTAAATTAACTTAAAAGTATATGGGAGGATTTGCTACATGCAGGTGGATTATCAGGACTATTGGTCCTCCCAATCTGGAGATAAGTGCTCGTCAAATAAGACCAGAGAATTTTGTTCAAAAGTGGAGAGGGCGGTTCTTTTCTAAAATTCAAAAAAATCCTATTATTTTTATATAATTATACACGGATGTGGGTCCGGTTGTTGGCTCAGCTGGGTTTAACGCTTTTGAACGTGTGGTCGCGCAAATTACAGGGGTGGGAAGGGGCGTTTCCCTTTGCTGTTGATTCTGGAATTGCTGTTGATTCTGGCACGGAATGGAACCATTCCGTGCCATCTGTGCACGTGCCACCATTCCGTGCCACCTGCGCATTGTGTTGTCTGGCTCTGAGCCAATAGCAGGTTTGTCCGAACCATAGACTGTAAAAATGAATGGACGTGGTCACGCCTATCTCTGCCATTCTAACTAATGGGCCAAAAATAGTGCTCTACTGGAGCTATCCAAAATGGCCGCGAGTGGTCCCACCCACAAGAAAATTATGAAAAAACGCATCTGCCCATGCGTCAGCCGGCGAGAGCTCAATTCATTTGAACGAGAAACTTCAAAAATTCACAGCAAGTAAACTAGAGTGGTCCAAAAAAAATCACCCCCCTCAGCATTGACACACATGTGGAACAGAGCTTTGGGCCAAGAGCCAATTTTTGGACCATCCTGTAAAGACGCTTTCCAGAGGTCTGCCAATGCTTTATGTTAGCATTGGATAACCCCCATCGGCCCGGGGTGGTATTGCAAGCATGTCAGCGCACATCATTTTGCCCACTTTTGAGCCGGGACCCGCCCCCACTGGTCCGAACACTCAGTGTCTTCAGGGACAGTGCTACTTTTCACTTTGGGGCTGGTGGGGCCCTCTAGTGGCGTAAAAGCACACAGGAGGTTTCCCTTGAACGCAATAGGGCTTCCTTTGGCCTCTACTTTGGGCAGTAGCTCTCAAACCTGTGCTCAGATTTTACGGTGCTGGAAGTCCATGAGTAGTTTGGAGCGACTCAATAAATCCTGCCCAATCAGAAGCGGAATAGTGTTTAGTGGTGAGACATACACTGCATGGATGATTTTCATTTGACCCCTTTTATTTATTATTTGTTCACAAACATAAGTTGAATCCACATCTTTTACATAAACATTTAGGTTTGTGAAAGGACTCCCATGAAGCACAATTGGCTTATATGTAGGGGCCCCAATAACATTTACATGGAAAAAAAAACAAGACAACAAAAAAGACATCCTCCCACACCCTCCCCCCCCACCCCAGTTCAATGCATTTTAAGACTGCCAGCAGCAGTCATGCCTTACCCATGTCTGTCAAACATATACTGTCCGCTACAACACACTCACATCAGTTCTGCAATAACATGGTACAGAAAATAAAATTAAAACCTTAAGTAAATGCGTTTGTGCTCATTCGTTCAGTTCTTTTAGGGGCAAGACCAAAATAAAACAAAATACTAAGATGGTTGTCAGCTATAGGGGGTTGCATTATGTATAATACAGCAGTAGTTTATGCTTTAGATTCTTTTTAAAAATGTTAAGAGAAGATGATTCTTTTATGGAGTTGTCCAGCTTATTCCAGATCTCAAGGCCCTTGCATGCTACGCTAAAACTAGTGCACTTGAGCCTGCGCTTTTCCCCTCGCAGTAAGGGTTTCCCTCTAGTGTTGTGACTGTGGGGGGCAGAGGTCACTGGGATGAGACTGGAGAGCCTAGCATTTAGATTGTGTACTACATTATACATAATGCAAGCATTAGGAAAACTGTTGCACTCAGTCAGCTTCAGAAGCTTAAACCTGTAAAAGAGAGGATCAGAGGGAGCATCATATTTAGACCAAGAAATAACACGAATTAATTTCTTTTGCAGAATCTGTAGCTTTTCAAGGTGGCTTGGATACGTATGACACCATATTGCATTACAATAATGAAGGTGTGGTTCAAATACAGACCGGTATAGAGTTAGGAGAGCTTCAAGGGGTAGATAATGTCTCAATTTGAGAAAGAGACCAACATATTTCGATAGTTTACTAATAAGGTAATCTATGTGTTTTTTAAAGTTCAAGAATTCATCCAAATATATTCCTAAAAATGTGATGTTCTTTACTCTCTCAAGAACTCTTCCATTATTTTATTTTTTTATACTTTCAATGTCTTTCCAGCTTCTATTTGAACGGAATATTATAAAGTTGGTTTTGTTTATGTTTAATGATAGTTTGTTGCATCTTAGCCAATTGTCTACTTTGATAAGTTCTTCATTTACAAGTGCTTCTAAGCTGTCCAAGTTTTTGTGTGACAGGAATAGGTTTGTGTCATCGGCAAATAATACCTTATGAAGGACAATAGATGAATTCATAAGATCATTAACATAAACAATGAAGAGAAGTGGCCCCAATATAGAGCCCTGGGGGACTCCATATTTGATTTTTTTATGCTGGGATTTGCTGTTTTGTAAGTGGACATAATGCTCCCTTTCAAATAAATAGCTTTTAAACCACCTGAGTGCATTTCCCCTGACCACATAATGTTCCAGTTTGCCAATAAGAATCTCAAAATTGATGGTATCAAACGCTTTTGATAAATCGAGAAAGACACCAATTCCACGCTCCCCTTTATCAACAGCGTCATTAATTTTTTCAATGAGATCGAGAACTGCCATACAGGTGGTACTGTTCTTTCTAAATCCATACTGAGCTGGGGTGAGTGTATCTAGTTTGTCCAAGAATCCACTAAGCCTATTGTACACAACTCTCTCAAGCACCTTAGAAAATGTTGGTAGGGTGGATATTGGTTGATAGTTGTACAAGTTATTTGTGTCACTAGATTTGAAAATCAGTAATATTTTTTCAATCTTAGTCATTTTTGGAACGACACCTTGAATTAGAGAGAGGTTAATGCAATAAACTAGTGGATCTACAATGTCCGGTGCTATGAATTTGACGGTTTTACTACATATCTCATCAATACCAGCAGTATGTGAACTTTTCAAGTTCATTATAATTTTGGAAACTTCAGTTTTATCAGTAGGCGTCAGAAAGAAGGAGTGTAGATAATTCCCTTTTAAGTATTGTTTGTAGTTAGCTCCCCCTGGTGGACTTATGGCTTCTGAGAGTGTTTCTCCTATTGAATTAAAGTAGTTGTTGAAGTTGTTAGCAAGATCATCATTGTTTAGAGAGCTTTCCCCATTTTCCTGGATTATGGTGTCAGGAAGGACAGTAGTTTTTTTTACCCCGGCTGAGCACGCTCTTCAGTACTTTCCAGCATTGCTTTTGATCACCACGAGAAGCCTTAATAAGCTCGATGTAGTGGTTTCGCTTACTAGCTCGTATTAACTTTGTTAGCTTGTTCTTGTAGGTTTCTCTGTGGTTTTCAATGTATTTTTTATAGAGCCTATATTTTCTTTTAATGGACTTTAAGATGCCCTTTGAGAGCCATGCCTTCTGTTCAGTCTTATTTTCTTTAATGGTCCTTTCCGGTATTGTTGAATTAATACTGTTTGTTATTTCATTAATAAGAGTATTGTAAGCTTCATCTGGAGTTTCAGTTATAAACAGAGTCCCATGTTTTATACTTAAGATTTACTGACAATTTAGACAAATATTTTTCTGTTATTACTTTACATTTCCTCTTGATAGGAGAATTTTTGCTAAGTTGTTTCCCAGACTTACTATCCAGATCAATGAAGAGTACAATTGGGAAGTGGTCAGTAATGTCTGTCATGATTACACCAGAGTCAAAACAAACATTTTTGATATTTGTTAAAATGTTATCAATGATGGACTTGGTGGTTTCAGTGACTCTGGTGTACGAGTTTATTGTTGGGAAGAAAGACGAAGACAAAAGACAATTAAGGAAGTCTTTTTTTATGCCACTATTTTTGGCCAGGTCGATGTTAAAATCCCCAAGAATAAAACAGTTTTTATTAAAGCCATTGATGCAGTTCAATAAGTCATCTAGTTTATTCATGAAGCAACTTGGGTCAGAGGCTGGAGGTCGATAGATTATTCCTACAATTATATTTTTCCTATTTTCTACGTGTATCTCTATGAATAGGGAATCTGATTGTAATCGCATACAGTCACAGTGTTGTATGTTTGCATATGTGCACACAACCCCACCTGGTCTACCTGTTCTATTTTTATTGTATAGTACATAGCCATCCAGGTTGAGAGTGTCCACATAAGACATTTCATTCACCCAGGTTTCACTACATCCTATAATATCAAAGAAGTGGTCCATAGAAGCTAGCACAGAGAGGAAGTCGTTGTGATGCTTTATTAGGCTTCTCGTGTTTAGGTGTAAAAAAGAGAAAGGAAGAAGATCAAAAGCTGTCATATTATCAGGAACGACACTCTTACACTTTAGATTATCAAAGCAGTGCTGGTCAGGTACCTCATGATTCTGATCATAGTTTAATTCATCAAAACCCATTTAATATAATTATTAGAGATTGACTGATGACTAGTGTGTACATAGTTAGACAGGTTGAACATAACAAACATGGAACTAAATACCAAAGTCCCCAAATCCCAAAACCCACCCCCCCTCCCACCCCACAATCATTCAACTGAGAGCAAGAGTGACTGATGTACATAAACATCCATCCACTCTCCTGCCCCAAAGCTATACTATTATATGAGCCAAAGAAAATAAAAAATAAAAATCACTTCTTATAGAAGGAAGAGAACATTACGAAATTAGGTGCTTTGTTAACAATGACCCAGAGTGCCTGGGCCAGTAGAGAGAGAATATGAAAGGAGAACTAGCAAAGTCACAAAGAAAAACAAAACAAAAACTGTTCTCTTGGGAAATGTGAGCATCTCACGTCGTAGTCACACGGCATGTACGCTCGTGACGTCACCAAGTAAACAATCCAGCGTGAGTGCCCCGGGCGTGAGAAAAAATGAATAACAGTCTTACCGATCACAGAAGATTACGCTCTATCTTTTGGATTCAAAGTCAGTGAGGAACTTCTCTGCAGCTGATGGTTCATTGAAGAGATGCTGCGCTGAGCCGTCTAGGAGTTTGATGACTGCTGGGTAAAGCAAGAAGGCTTGAAATCCCAAGGTTCGAGCGCGATGCATCACAGGATAGCACGGGTGTCTCTTCTTGGCAGTGGTGTCACTGTAGTTGGGGGCCATTCGGATTTGTTGACCGGAGACCTGCACGGATGTTTTCCAGGCTTCATTCAGTAGACGGTCTCGATCAGTGAAGCGCAGGCACTTCTCTATGATGGTCCTTGGAGTCAGAGACTTGCGTGGAGGGCAATTATTTTTTATTGTAATAAGGTCACCCTTTTTAAGGTGAGACTGCTGGGTGAGGCTTTGCAGCTTCTCAAAAAGGTCTTCTGCTATCAGGCTAACGTTTGCTGCGGTATCAATCATGGCTTGCTGGTTCCTTTGGTCCTCCAGAGTCACCGAGAGGTGAGGGTTGTCATTTGTTGCTTTTGGTAACAAGTTTCCCATGAACTGGCAGAAAGGTGGTTCACATTTGGCCATGGAGGGGTTACTTTCACTCGGATTGGTGATAGAACTTTCCTTGTACCACCAAGACGTCTTTATGTGATTGGAGTCTTGTCTCGGCCACTACCTGCCAACTGGTGTCATCTTTGGGCTGGCTCGAGCTATAATCATTTGGGGTGTCAGGATCCTTGGGTACGGTAGGTGAGTCAATCATATCTTTTCCATCCAGGTTCAGTTTATGGGGGATCTTTAGAAGGGCTTCTCGCTCTTCCTTACTAAGACCATCTAACTACAAGCTCTGGCAGTCTTTCCTTTGGCGTGGAGACCACATGGGTGGTCTGTCGTTCCCCTCTGCTGTTGGACTCTTGAACACTTCTTAACCTGTCCCCCCGCCCTTTATAAAGTCACTTTACTGCCCATCATACGTCACTTTACTTCACTGTACTGCTGTCACCTTACATTGTGTGCACCATGTGCACTTGTATATTGTAAATAGTAACTGTAACTCTATTTTAAATTTAAATTTATTCTTTAGAAGTGTTTTTTTATTCTTATTTTTATTATCTCTTTTTGACTGTTGCACTGAACCAAAGCAATTTCCTAGTCTGTGACCTCCTGTTACTTACGTGGCAATAAAAATGATTCTGATTCTGATTCTGATTCTGAAAGGTAAGCTTGCACTTGCCATTGAATTTGGAAAGTTTTCCATGTCAGACCATCCCTGGTTAGCCTTAGGAGCCTTGCGGGCATATTCTGCCTCTGTAACTGGCAGGCGGGGGCGCCTTTAAGCTCCATGTGGTTCTCCATGCTAAGGTCAGAAAACATATCATATGATTTGTTGTTAGATCTAAGCTGTATCTTTGGGCTATATTTGGCCTAGCATTTTGTATCTTGTAATCAAGGTTTTCTTCATGTTATTCTTGACAATTTTCATATTTCTATGCTAAACTGTATTGTGTTTACTGCATTACATCTACAAAGCCATCTTTATCTGAAAGTGATATTTGTGCTGATTTACCTCCAGAAATTAAGTCACTGATTTGTAAATGGACTCGTGCCTTCATATGCCATTGAAGAGAATTGTATGTATAGCTAATTCAATAATTTAGGACTCATAAGATAACTGAATCAATAAATGAGCCAATTAATAGATAACGTGACGTCACATGCACATTATCAGTTGTAATTTATTCACTGGTGTCCCGAAATTGAGTTATCATCAATTATTGTATGTAGTCCATGATTGTTTTTGACCCAATTCCCCAATATCAAATAAATCACTTTAAGGAGCTATACCCGTTTCTGCAAGGTTTGAATGTTTAGAACCGCCCCTCAACCCGCTCACAGGTCTCTCATTTCCCCTACGCTCTCATCCCACAGAGCCATCTAGTTTTATTTGCGAACTGATTCATATGCAATCATTAGCATGAGCGCAACTTCTTGTAAGCTGTACAACAATCACTGGTGAAATGGCACAAAAGCAACGCACTGCTAACAAAATACAACTGAAAGATTACCGCTAGGTTTGCGTCCGAATGTAGTCCGAGGCGGTCCTGCTCCTGCAGATCTCTCCCATAGACTGTAAGTCTCTCCAGAGGATACGATGTAAGCTAGCTATGTTCACCAGGGCTTAATTTCTTCTTTGATAATTTTTTCGCTTTAGTTTCCTCTTCTCTTCCTCACTGTATGTGTATGTGTATGCAGTTACAGCAAGAGGAGTTATAGCCAATTCTGCTAACATGCTACTGTGTTTAGCAGCGCTGTAGAGGCTAGAGGACGCAGTCTGTTCTGTGATTGGAGGAGAATGAGCGTCACGCCAAGTCTCTACTCAGCACTTTTTACGGTCTGAATTCATACACAAGCTAAATCAATGAGCTTTTCACTTAAATTACGGATTATAATACAACTTGTATGTAGTAATAAGCATTTTTATGAACTCTTGGTATATCTTTCTGATTAAAATGTTTTAATTTTTTTATTATTATTATTATTATTCTTGTCTCATTATGCATTCATTACGGTACCTTTTCTTTATATAACTGCAATTTATCCCATGTTTTTTAATCTCATTAACTAGCTATAGGTTAAAGCTTACCATTTTTATTCAGTATAATACTTATCATCTGTCATTTTGTTATTCTACATAATAATAATAATACTGTTGCACATGTTCCACTCACATACACACAGGTTATCTGTTGTATCCCTTAAAATCATGTATCGTGGATTTTGTTGTTGTTTGTTGTATGAATGTTCTCTTGCAAAAAAACATAAAAAAATCAAAAAATAAGTTGGAAACATATATTTGCTTTCGAAGCTTTGAAGCTCCCCCTAATCAGAACAACCACCTCAATTCACTCCAACTTCTCTCCCATTTTTCAAATGCTCTTGTTCAATTTGTTATGTTATGAAACCTTTTGACTGAAATAAGAGGAATACATTTTAATCTTTTGCAATTCTAGGATTTAAATGTATTAAATTAAGAGATCACAAGATACAGAACAGTAGGAATGAGGAGCACACAGCAAAAGATAAATGAACAATAACTATACGAATTAAAATAAATAAAATCTCTAATTCTCGCATCAAAGAAACAAGCATAAAATCTCTATCTTTAACATAATAAAGAAGTATAAAATCAATCATTTGGTAAAATAAGAAGAAAGTATAAAGTACAGTGTACTCTAGTGCAAGCAATATGTAGTTATATGTTAGAATCTGTACACAGTAGCAGCAGTATCTTTACATCTGAACATTAGCAGCATGAGGCTCTGAGACACAGTGACTCTGTAAAGTGACAGTGACACATGTGGTTCTGTGTTGTTTATTGTAGTTAGTTATTGTAGGTAGTTGGCTATATTGTATCAAATGGTTGATAAAGATATATAATAAATACATATAATTATCCATCCATCCATTTTCTTTCCCTTAATCCATTTCTGGGTTGAGGGGGTGGCAGTCAGATCTGCACCCAGTATACAGAGCACCAGTCCCTCACTAATCCTCCTGCAGGTGGTGGGTCCGCAGGAGCCTTAGTCTTTCAGCGGGGGCTTCAGGCAAAGTGGGGTTAAGTGTCTTGCTCAAGGACACAACGACAGCAGATCAGCGGGGGTTGTGATGTAGGTCTTACGGTGGGCTTGAACCCACGACCCACTGTCACCCCTAAAAATATATAATTAGGATTCAACCTAGGTTCATCAAGTAAATTAATTAAAAACAAACAACAAAATCTTGACTATCTTGATGTGTTGTCCACATGCTTTGTTCTTTTGGCTTGTCTCTTGTCACTCTGTGTCATGCTGTGGTGTTGCACAGATGCAGGGGAAGCACCAGCACCTCCAGAAGGACTTCTTCCTCTACACTGCATCCAAAGCTAAGTGCCAGAGCTATATCAATCTGCGCGAGGTGACGGAGCGCTTTAGGCTTCCCCCAGGGGAGTATGTCATCATTCCGACCACCTTCGAACCACATCAGGAGGGAGACTTCATCCTGCGTGTCTTCTCCGAGAAGGACAGTCTGTCTGAGTGAGTTTGCAAAGACAGAACTCAAAATTCAATGTTGTTTTGTTTTGTTTAATTTCATGGATCTGTAAAGTCCCTCCACTTGGCTGTCCATTCAGGTTCCGAAAATAAAGTGGGAGGGCTGCGTTATTCTACGCAGTATTAACAATTTCTTTGAATCAATGCAGAGAGTGCATGTGTTGCTTGCGGCTTTCAGAGCATAACACACGCATACTGCTGCATATATTTCCCTATATTGAGGCCATACTTGCATGCAAAAGCCACATCCAGTCAGACCTCTGAAGTTGTGTAGGGCAGGGCCTGGTTAGTACTGTGATGGGAGACCTCTGAGAACACCAGGTGCCACGGTGGGGTGGCTGTAAAGTGCCAAACTGCTGTTGTGTCCTTAGGCACGACACTTCACCCACGTTGCCTAGAATGAGTCTGGTGTGTGTGTGCGATTGGCTGGTTGTGGTCGGAGTGGCAGATTGTACATACTGATTGCCTCACTTCTGTCAGTGTGCTGTGGCTACAGTAGCAGTTTATCACCACCGTGTATGGAGTGAATGAATAATGACATGTGAAGCGTCTTTGAGTGTTCTGAAAATCGCTATATAAAACCTATGCATTGTTATTATTAATATATATTACACAGACCTCACTTGAAGCTTTCCCTTTATCTATTTGTGTGACCCCAAAAACTTATTTTTCAAGTGAAGCTTACGGCAGACTGTAGACTGCCACGCACACAACGTAGAGTGCACACCATGGATCTATAATAATAACTGGACAGGGTATTACTAGCTTGTAGCTGTCCCACCCATGGGCACAGGGGGCGCCCGTGGTACTGCAGACTAAATTCATGTGAGCTACCCAGAAAAAAAGTCCCATAGATCTCAAGGTAAACTAAAACAGTTTTACCTCAGCTGACAAAGAACCTTTCATAAAGGAATTTAGTGTCCCTTGTCATCCTGAACTTATTTTCTTCTTAAATCCCTCTGTTTTCTTACAATCCATACTTTACTGCCACAAACTCTGCTGTTTTCCTTCCTGCTCTGACTCCGCTCTACCACTGCTCTGATCAGCAGCTCTGATTGGTCAAAGCGTGGCCGAGCCCCTCTGTGCACATGCATGAGAGCCATACACCCATATTCTGCGCAACGCATCAAGGGAGATAGTCCACTGCGCAGAACCGGGAGGACCAGACGATGCCCAAATAGAGCAGAGTTCCTCTGATATGTCAGCGCCCATGAAATCCCATGTACTACTGAGCACAAGCCATTCATTTGAATAGGGCGCCATCTTGGATCACCGGTGCTTGGTACACACACACTCCACGGGAATTTATTTTTTTTCCTGGAGAACCCAGCCTGCATCACAAACCAGAAAACTTGCCTGTAAAAAGGACCTTTAAACCCTCATAAAACTGCTGCTGTTCTGCCCGCATGTGCCAAAGACTGTTGTGGCTCCACCACTTGCATGTTTTTTACTGGGGTTTGGATTTATATTATTATTAGTTCTGTGGAAGATGGGTGGGCACTTCACAGCTCCAATTACCTATTTAAAGAGCTGCTAAATGATCTGTATGGATGGTTACTCTGTCCAATGCAAAATTCATAAAGAAATAGAGGGTGTCTGGAAGACCATAGGATTAGTGAGAGATGACCTGGAAGGTGAGATTGTGAGCAGAGAGACCTACTGATATTATGTGAGGTAAGCACTAGTATCGTCATGGACTCATAAACATAGCGGACATTTGCTTTCAAAGGTCCCGATTTCATTATTTATTCATTATCTATTCTTGCATAGCCCTAAATCACAACAGCAGTCATCTCAGAGGCCCTGGTAGGACTTGTGGTTAACCCGGCACTGATAGGCTAAAGCTCTGACAGGCTCTGACACCAGCAGAAAGCACCTAAACAACTGGCATTAGCCCAGCAGCATTAGCTTAGCAGACACCACTGGAAATAGTGAACAACAGCATGGCATTCATTCAGGGTTTGAGGCATCGCAGCAAAAAGAAAAGATTTATTAAGACATGTCAGCTTCACCTCGAAGCACTGTGGATTCGTCACACTCTAAAACAAGCCATGAAAAGTTTTAAAACAGAGGACAATAAAAAACTCAAAGACCACAACAACCGGAGCGGTTACGACCGTTAAATAAACAAATGGGTTTGGCGTCCCCGCTCCGTGTACCAGGAACTCATGCGGTGAAACGCTGCTATGAGTTCGCTGCTATGGACATTCAGTTTTTGCCTGTTCTCCAGACACAAAGAGACATCACTGGTAAAAATATACAGAATCAGCTACTGAGTCAACAATTGTGTTTTAAGTATTTAGCCCTTGTCGCACGGGATTAATGTTACCTGTTGTTGAAATGAACAAGGAGTCTTGGATAAAGTTTCGTCTTGTTTAAATCACAGCTAAAACGACGTGGATATATCGTGGACTACTTGACTTAAATCTGTATAACAGAGCATGCACACAGATAGAAATTACACCAAATGATGAGGTAAAATTTATCAGAATTAACTACATCTTCTCTTTTTAGTGACTTTTATTATCAAATACATTTAGCAAGTTGAGTTAAACAAGTAATAGCTATTGATTAAGGTACATTCCTGTAACAATACTTACAGTGCCTTGCGAAAGTGAACCTTTCAACATTTCAGGCTTCAAACATAAAGATATAACATTTTAATTTTTTTGTCATGAATCAACAACAAGTGGGACACAATTGTGAAGTGGAACGAAATTTATTGGATAATTTAAACTTTTTTAACAAATAAATAACTGAAAAGTGGGGCGTGCAATATTATTCGGCCCCTTTACTTTCAGTGCAGCAAACTCACTCCAGAAGTTCAGTGAGGATCTTTGAATGATCCAATGTTGTCCTAAATGACTGATGATGATAAATAGAATGCACCTGTGTGTAATCAAGTCTCCGTATAAATGCACCTGCTCTTTGATAGTCTCAGGGTTCTGTTTAAAGCGCAGAGAGAACCATGAAGACAAAGGAATAAACCAGGCAGGTCCACACAATACAATACAATTTATTCTTGTATAGCCCTAGGTCACAACAGAAGTAATCTCAGAGGACTTAACAAAACCATTGAAATCACCAACATAGATCAGAGAATCAACAGTTAAAACACATGAAAAATATAAAGCACACACAGAAGAAAATGTCCATACATGTTGTAGAATGCTAAAGTGTCCTGATCATCACCAATCCTTTCTGTTGGACACTAACTGTCCAGCAAGACCGTCCTGCATCGACAAGGAAAAACTCTTAAAAACCCAGTGGGAAAAAGTGAGAAACCTTGGGGAGAACTAGGGAAACCCACAGGGAGGGAGACCCTGTCCGCTCCTCCGGACGGACAGGCTAATGATCTAGGACCTAAGCTAGCTACAGAACGTGGACCAGTGGCCGCTGAACGTGGACAGGTCCGGTGCAGGACTGAAGCACTCTCAGGCGGGTTGGGCGGGGCAGTCCGCAGGTGTAGATGGAGGAGGCCAGGCTCAGAGATCCCGTCATCGTACCATGAAACAGACAATGGGACAACGTGTGAATAGCAATGAACAAACTACAGTCAAAATCCTAAAAATGCTAAACAGATAAAGTAGGAAGGAGGAGAGTGCTCAAGTTACCATACTTCTCCCAGCAAACTGACTCCCTATGCAGCTTGACTGACAGTCTGAGGAGTTTAGCCTTCCCTGAGTCTTACCTTCTTAGCCATATGCTAAACTAAAGAGGACTGTTTTAAACCTAGCCTTGAATAAAGAGAGCGTATCTGAAAGGAGGTAAGACAACAGCAGCAGCCACGGCTAGGCTAGCCTAGGTTACAGCACCAAGATTCATGGATTGCACCCCAGGTGTGCAAACCGATCCAGGCAAACCTAATTATATATTATATATCATATATATCATATATATCATATATACCATACATACCATATATATCATATATAATATAATAACATACAGCATAATCTATAAAATAATATACAACATAACACAATACACAACATAATACATATATTGTCTAATATATAACATAATATGTAACATAATACAGCATATATATATATAATATATACACCACATATTATATATTACCTAATTATTTGCTAAATTAAAGTAGAGTGCTTCAAGCCTGGCCTTGAATGTGGAGACCGTATCTGCTTCCTTAACATAAATGGGAAGCTGATTCCACAGTAAAGGAGCTTGGTAGCTAAACGCTCTGCCGCCAACAGTGATTTTTGAGACCTTAGGAACCACCAGACGGCTGGCGTTGTGTGTATCAACCAACGCTCGACTTGGTTGATACGACACTAACGTGTCTTGGAGATAGGAAGGAGCCAAGCCATTTATGGCTTTATATGTTAAGAGAAGGATTTTAAACTTTATTCTGTACTCCACAGGGAGCTAGTGGAGTTATTTTAACACCGGAGTTATGTGCTCCCTCCTTTTGGTACCTGTTAAGATCCTAGCTGCTGTATTCTGAACGAGCTGGAAGCTCTTCAAAGAGGCTTTAGGGCACGCTGCCAATAAAGCGTTACAATAGTCGAGCCTTGAGGTGACAAACGCGTGAATAAGTTTTTCCGCGTCACTTTTAGGAAGGAAATTCCTAATTTTAGCGATGTTCCGTAAGTGGAAGTACGCCGTTTTAGTTGCTTGGCTTATATAAGCCTTGAAGGAGAGTTCTTGGTCAAAAATGACTCCAAGATTCCTCACAGTGTTACTGGGTATAATACTGACATTATCGAGAGTGATTATCTGGTTAGTAAGGGAGTCACGCAGGCGCTTCGGACCGAGTAGGATCACTTCTGTCTTCTCTGGGTTGAGAAGTAGGAAGTTAAGAGTCATCCACATTTTAAGGTTCTTTATGCAGGCACTAAGCTTTTCTAGCTGATCTGTCTGATTTGGCTTCATCGACAGATAAAGCTGTGTGTCATCTGCATAGATGGGCGGCATGGTGGCTGAGTGGATAGCACTCTCGCCTCTCAGCAAGAAGGTCCTGGG